GGTGCCACCCCTGGGCAGGTGGGCCTGTGTTGCATAAGAAAGCAGGCTGAGCAGGGGCCAAGGGAGCAAGCCAGTAAGCAGAGTTCCTGCATGGCCTATGCTCCAGATCTTGCTTCCAGGTTCCTGCCCTGAGTTCCTACCTTGGGCTCCCTGGTGAGCTGTGACCTGGGAGTTGTAAGCTGCATAAACCCTTTCCTCCCCAACCCAAGTTGGTATTGGTCAGAGTATTTTGTCACAGCAATGAAGAAACAAACTAGGACAATGTTCAAGTAAAAAATTATTTAAAAAACAACAAAAAAAGGCACATTTGGTACATAGCCTGGCCTAAACAATCAGTCACACCTTAACTAGATCTCTCATTTTTATCATTTGCTAATTCATATTGTATATATATACTGACTGGTCAATTTTAAGTTATAATAAGTCATCACTGAGAATAAACTGAAAGAAATGCACCATAGTCTGCTATTACACAGTATCTGCACTATACAAACACAGTAAGCAGTAATGACTTTAAGAGAATAGGTAATAGTAAGATGTAACCAAATAGTTTGGAAGGAAAGGGTATTTATTATCTTTTTATGGGACCTGTTTATTGTAAGTTTATATAAGACTTTTAAATAAAGGCTGTACTTAATAACTGGCTCACAAAATACCTGAGAATTTAACAGTCATTGCTTACAATCTGATAAAAACCAGCCTCAGTACATGAAGCCAGTTAACCTAAAATCACTAGGAGTAAGGAATATGTATTTTTTAATTGAGCTTTTAAAATTTCACACAATATTTCTCACTCACATCCAGACCCCCTACCCCATCCATTAACAGCACCCCCCATCCCCCACCCCCATGCCACAGAACCCTGTGCACTCTGCCATACATGCTGAGTCCTATTCTCATGTCCCCTTTGGGCCCTTGTTTAATTGAGCTGACATGGGTCCTGAGTTCAATGCCACCGCTGCCACAGGCACACATGAGCAAGCCTCTGTTGGTCCGGAAGCCTCCACCTCACGGGAGGAACACGTATTTTTTAAAAAGATCTCCAGATAACTCTATCCAGTGAAGATTGAAGATTACTGCCTGAAAGGGTTTAATGATAGAGCTAATGCTAATATTTCTTGGGATTTGAAAGAATAATTTGTTCCTTGGGAGAAAGAATGTTTCTAAGGGAAAAAGTGAAGCGAAAAGAGGCAGAAAAAAACGTTGCTGAGGCTTGAGGGATCACAACAGGAGAATACATGGGGTTGGTGCAAGTGACTTCTGGAGAGAGAACTTGGGTGACCAAGCACTCCGGTTTGTTGGATACAAGATTATCAGTGCTGAAACCAAAAAGTCTCTGAGAAATCACTGAAGGTGCTGCATGTTTCTATTTAACATATTTTAATAGCCGCATGTAGCTTGGGGCTACTATATTAATAGAACAGCAGGTACTTACAAATATGATAGAACACGGTTCCTTTGCCTATGCAGATTTCCTATCTGCTGAGGTAGAAAGAATTTTGAAGCATGCTAAAAGGGAAATATAGGCCAGTAACAATTCAGAGACCAAAGTTAAATTTGTGCTGTCAAACTAATGTGCTAACATGATAGATATTCTTCAGAAAGAAGCAATGATTTTTGTGAAGGCAAAAAGTTTTTTTCTCCAGGTAGTACCATAGCTAGACAGTAAATTAAAAGGAGAGGGATGCTTGGCACTAAAGTGACCACAATCCCTCACATGGTTTGTCTCAGAATCAATAGCAAGCATTTAGCAGAATGATCTGTAACTGAGGGAAAACCTGAAAAGAACAACACTATTTGACTGTGGGAAGCCTTGTCCTTTGATGTCTTAGATGTTATTTCCTGAACTCTTGGCTGACTAGAAAACTAAATATCATGTTTATAATTGAACTACACTTCCCAAAATGTGAATTTTCAAGGTAATATTCTCATTCAGAATATACACATGAGGATCATTACAAGAAACAAGCTACCATAATATTTATAATGGTATTTGTAACATAAAATCACATTAAGAAAGATGACCAAAATAAAATTAACTTGGAATATTATATCCCTATAAAAATAACCAAAAGGAAATGAAGAGTTCTCATAACAGCATTCTTTAGATAGAAAAAGCTCATACCCTGGATAATTCAAATTTTACTAATTAAAATCTTTTGAAATGTGAGATGTAAAGTTATAGAACTATATTAATTTGACAGAGCTGGCATGGCTAGTCTATGACAAATATAAAATGTTTAAACTTTTTAAGCTTTCAGGACTCAACTGCTTTAGCCAGGGTGAGTTATTCTCATTCTCATCTAAAGCTGCAATAGCAGAATAGCCTAGGACATTTAGCCATCTTGTCCTGACAAATAACCAATTCACCTTGTTTTCACCCAGTATAGTCTTAAGTATTGATTTTGCCAAGTGAACTCAGACATGTGTCACACTTATCCAATATATATCCTTTTCCTTGGAAATTTAGTTTGAACATCAATCAGTCACCTGGCCTTTTCACCTCTGATTCCTACTGCCACTGTCTATCAACTATTAAAGCTTGGCCATGTTCCAAGTTGTGTTGTTTTTAGAAACTGAAATATATATTGTGTTCTATTTCTTGAAAAGTATGCAAATGTTCACTAATTAAAGGTCTTCATTAAATTTATTTTTTTCCTAGACTGAACCCCCATTTCAAAGATACATCAATATTTCCTTTCAAAATCTATTTTCTGAATAGTAGCACTATCCCCTTATAATTCTAATTTCAGTTTTGAGGAAAAAAAATGAGACATACATTCAATTGAGTAGTAATTTTATAAGGGTCTTCAAATGGAGTAGAGTGTTTTTGTCTCTTCCTGAATCCAGTGAGAGTCAGAGAATGACACCCACCTTGAGCTGCAGGCCTCCTGGGACCACAGTGTTTGCTGGAAGGCTTTTAATGTGTTGGCAGACATAAGAGGAGAATTGCTCCTGCTCAGCCTGTAATTGGGGGCCAAGCTTCGAGAGATGACCTCTGTTGCTTTTGATAGCTGTCTGCAACTCATCAATCAGCATGCTCACCTGAAGGGGTTAAATTACAAGCGTTGTTAGCAAGAAGTAATTGTTGATGTCACACCTATTAGAGTTTTGAGTATCTAGCTTGATGGGAGAAAATGACTTCGACACAGGAATTTGAGTACAGATCTATTCTCAGGTAAAAAGAATAAAAGAGATAGTCATACATATCTTCAATACACACACACACACACACACACACACACACACCACATCCTTTTTACTTCAGGACTATGGACTAGGTAGCCATTTATAAGTGGTGAATGAAAACTATTTCTGGGTATAAAAAGAACACATAGATTTGACATGCTTATAAAAACCTTAAACTCCTAAACAGACCAGATATGGTGGCACATGCTGAACAGGGCAGATGTGGTGGCACATGCTGTAATCCCAGCATTCAGGAGGAAAAAGCCAAAGAATCACTGTAAGTTTGAGGCCAACCTACTCTACATAATGACTTCTAGGGCAACAGGGGCTACCCAGTGAGACCCTGTCATAGACAAGCAACAAAAAAGAGGACATGAATAAATAATAGGATAAACTTTTTCCAGGACTGTAAATCATTCAGCGTTGTATAACCTACTACATACTGCATTGTACAATAGGTATTTTATTTTTTTTTACTTTAATATTGTTCTAGTTACCTTCTACCACTACAATAAAAATACCGACTAAAACCAACTTGGAGAGGAAACAGTTTATTTGGCTTACAGTTCATAGTCCATCTCTAGGGAGGTCAAGGCAGGAACTCAGGGCAGGAACCTGGAGCACAGAGCTGAAGCGCAGCACAGACCATGGAAGATAGCTGCTTACTAACTTGTTCTTCTGGCCTACACTCAGCCTACTTTCTTATGCATCATAGACACACCTGCCCAGGGATAGCACTGCCCACAGTAGGCTGGGCCCTCTGACATCACGTAATAATTTAGAAAATGCCCTGCAGACACGGCCACAAGCCAATCCAGTGGAGGAAATTCCTCATTTGTGGCTCTCTCCATCTAGCTGTGTCAAGTTGACAACTGAAGCTATCCAGCACAACTATGTACTCCAGTAAAATTCAACCCATATATCAAATTCATTAAGATTTTGTTAACCTTTTAAAATCTATTACTAGACAATAAACTGTTCTAGACAACATTTTCAATAGAAATAAAGCATAGAATGTTTCCAGAAATAAGAAATACACACCTTTGATTTTTTTATGTTTCTAGACTTCTAATCAGTGTGGTTAGAAGACACACGAATTTTACTTGTGTATTGTGGGTAAGTTATACTGAAGTCTCACAAATAGCAAATAAATGTTTAATTACATGGTTAGCAAATTAAAAATAGTACACTTCTTTGACTTCACTGTTTTACATAAATTTACGTTTTATGTAACCAACTGCATTCTTACATAAATGTCAGCTAATACAAAGTAGCAACCAAAATAGAAAAGCAGAAATCCCATTTATCCATGATATTTTAGGATGATCAGCTTATAGCCACTTAGAATTACAAATTACAGAATACAGTATGAACTTTTAAATCTTGGGTTAAAATTCTGACTATCAATCACGGACTGGGAGACTTTGAACAGGTAACAAAACTGTCATCCACAAATAACGAATAACACTGCCTTTGCCACATTGAGAATTAAATTAAACAATAAGAAGATAAAACAATGTCTAACTTGAAGCAGTTGTGCCAATACCCTGGTATATTAATTCAGTTTTATTCATTTTTTAAAATTACCATACAAAGCATTGGATTTTGGCATTCATACATATTTTGCTTTTGTTGGATCTCCTCTCCTACTCCCCTTGCCATACCCCTATCCCCCTCCCATTGACCCCTTTCATATACACACAAACATATGTATGCAATAACACAGGTATATGCACATATATAAAATTACAATCTAGGATGTGCATATAAGAGAAAATGTTCTGACTTACATGGCACTGGACTGGTTTACATACCCACCAGCAGTGAATAAAAGTCCCCCTTTCTCCACATCCTCAGCAGCATCTGTTGTTTGCTTTCTTAATATTAGCCATTCTGACTGGGGTGACATATTTTAATTTGCATTTCCCTGATAAGTAAGAATGTTGAATAGTTTTAAAATATTAAACATTCATGTTTCTTCTTTTGAGAACTGCCTTGATTAGATCCTTTATTGATTGGAAGTTTTTGAATTTTTCAGTTTGTTCTATGTTCTATCCTATCTGAAGTGTAACTGGTAAAGGTTTTCCTGCTCCATGCTGATCACTTCCTTTGCAATGCAGATTTTTAATTTCATGTAATACCATCTGTCAATTATTGGGTTTGTGTCTTGTGCCATTGAAGTCTTCCAGAAAGTTCTTGCCTAGGCCTATATCTGGAAATATTTCCCTTTGTAGACTGGCATAATATTGGTATAGTATTTTCTTTTTAAAATCTGTGTTGTCTGTTTTAATTTTTTCTTGGGCTGTCTTTCCTGTGTTTACTCCATACAATAGATAAAAATTCTAAACTATTTGTTGCATAATTCTCTAGTTCATCTCAATGCCCACAAACAAAATGGACACTCCTTCTTCAAGAGAATCTTATCTGCTCTTTAGATCTCTCAGATGAAAATACATTGGTATTTGACTCAACCTATGCTCCACTCTCATGGCAAATCTATAATTTTTATTCCTTTTTCAAAGAGTACAGAGAATTTACCCAAATCTAGGTTATGCTAGTAATCACCACATGATTTGAAAATTTTTCTACTTTACCTATTCAAAAAGGAAGTAGAAATACAGTAGTTCCCAGATAAACAGAAATTGAGGGAATTCATTGCAACTGGACAAGCTCTATGAGGAATGCTTAAGAAGCCCTGCACTGGATATGAAAGGATGGACGTGTCATTCTTAACACACAGGAACACAAAGAACTCACTAAAGACAAAGGTACTTGAAACAATGTGAAGAATTAAAACAGAGCATGTTGGAAAACAACTATTTAATACAATAAAGAATAAAAGACGGCACTACCATCCTCAGGCCTCTTGGGGTAAGTCTATAGCGCAGCTCTCACGCCGGGATCCCTAAGCCACATTCACCCTTCCATCCCTCCCACCGTTCTATACTCCTAGTTTGGGCCCTGCACCATTCCTAGTCTTGGGGCCCCAGACACCTGGGGAACCAATACTGCTTCCTGATCCTTCTCACCCAGACCAACTCAGTCCCTTTCTTGGGCTCCAGGAGCACAGCTTCTAGTCCTGGCCCCGCCCTCACCTCTCTCTGCTTCCCTGGGCCTGCACCACCGGCTAACTCTCCTAGCCTCCACTACTATCCTCAGCCCTCTTGGGGTAAGACTATAGCTCACCCCTCCGTGCCAGGACTCCCTAAGCCACATTCACCCTTCCATCC